GGTTTGGCGGATGGATGCGAATCGATTTGGCGGTTTCAAATTTTATAAATTTTCGACATAATTTTGATGTGTGTGAGAGAGAGATTTGTTTGGAAAACTTGTTTGGTTTACAAGTTTTGGGAAATTTTTTTAGAAAAATTTGTTTGGTTTGGTTATTTTTGAAAACTTATTTGTAAAGAAAATTTTCCAAATTTTTTTCAGAAAATCAAACCAAACGAGCCCATAATATCTATATAACATTTAAATGAAATAAAGAATATCAATAATAATAAAAAAAAGGTTAGTAGAAAAGGTGATTACCTAAAAACATGGAATTTACATTTTAAATAAAATTGCAAAAAATTAATATAATTATTGTTATTATTTTACAAAATAAGATGTTAGTGAATTAATAATTACTTAAAACCTCCTTCTTCTAAGACTTAAATGCCATATTTCTTAAAATTACATGAACTACTCCTACGGTCTAATTGTTGTCAATTAAAATGTTATAACATTGGACAAAAAAAATATAATTTTGACATTTTTATTTTGATGTAATTTATTTTTTTAAGATGAAATATAATTTTGACAATTTTTTGCCAAATTAATTTTTATTATTACTTAAAAAAAAAATAAAAAGCCGCCCTCGTGATTCACTTCACATCACTCACTTATCTCTGGCGGCCTCAAATCGTTTCATATGTGCGATACACTCATGGGAATTAGGGGTGGGTGCGGGTCAGTTGTGGTCACGAAACCTTCAATCCGTCATTCGTCCGTCAGATTGGCAGATTGGAAAAAATCAATTCGTATCCGTCCGCCAATCTAGCGGATGTGGATTGAGCGGATTGGCGGTTTGGCAGATGGATGCGAATCGATTTGGCGGTTTCAAATTTTATAAATTTTCGACATAATTTAACTTGTGCACTTCTCAAAAAAAAAAAAAAAAAAATATTACAGTCAATGACTTAAAAGAATATTACCATCACTGCATGCCTCATTCAAAGCAATAAAGTTTGAAACTTTAGAATATCACAATTACTGCATGCCTCATCCGCATATTACAATCACAGCATGCCTCATCCACATAAAATATTATAATCTGGGGTTTTCAAAATATAAAAACAATTCAAACTACCAAAATTATGAACAGAGTAGTAGTAGAGATTGTATGTCTCTGTATTGTTATATCTATATCTGTTTTTGAAAACAAAAACCAACTAGCGTCTATCATATTTTCTATTTATTATTTTTAGAGATAGATTTAAAAATCAAAAAATATAGATAAATAATACGTTTATTTTTTTCAATTCAAAAAAGATATTCAAGTTGAATTTTTTTTTTCAACAGAATATTTAAATTCTTTTTTAATTGAAAACACAAACAGAATATTTAAACAAACTGAAAACACAAAATCTTCTAAATTACTAGGGGTGCTCGCGGTTTGGCGGTTTGGTTGTAGCTAAGGAAATCTTAAATCCGCCATCCCTCTGCTAGATTGGCAGATTGGAAAAAATCAATCTGCAGCCGTCCGCTCGTCATCATGCATCCGTCCAAAATGCGACGGAACGGTTCAATTCGGTCAAATTTTGACAGATCGATATATCCGCTGCTCACCCCTAATGGGAACCATTTACACCGTGATGTTCAGGCCAAATTTAGCATACCTCAAATAATTCATATTTTTATATTTTTTTTATCACATCACCTCTTTACTTTTTTATATATCTTTTCATAAAAAAAATAAAAAATAAACTTATGTAGATCGTCCTAAATAACTCCTACTAGTAAGGAGGGGTAAGGGGTAGAGTCGTAAAAGGAGGAGTCAAGGTCGTCGTTCAAACTTTCGGAAATCAAGGAAGTGGACATCTGACACGTACAACAACAAATCCTACCCACGGAGGTTAAGCTACAGCAGCAGATTTGTGCCCTCCTGAAGAAAGTCCTAAATTGAAATTTCCAATTTAACGGGTCCTTATTTGTCATTTCCACACCAACAGTGACTTGGGAGTTAGTTATTTGGCTTAGAGGCTATTTCACGAAAAATTCTATTTTATATTTAAAAATGCATATTTAATAAATTATTATCTTAATAAGAACTATACTTTAAAGTAAAATTATCATAATAGATATTAAAATACACTCATAATATTACAAAAAAAATATCCCCTAAACATATTTTTTCTTAAAAAAATTTAACTATATATCTTTTAATAAAAAAATTAAATCCTAATTCCTTCACTTTAGACAAAAACAACAAGAAACAAAGTAGATTAGACGATTTTTATGATCTTTTTTTCTTTCTTCTTAACATCAATTTTCTAGTCAACTAAACAAATTAAGATCACATATTTATACATCCAATTGAAATAAAAGCATTATAAAATAATTAAAAATTCTTGGTTGTGTGAAAGAATTTTCATTACATATTAAACTCTCTTCTTTTTTCTTTTCTTTTTTTATATAGAAAAAAACCCTTTTTTAATTGGCTAAATCCAACATTCTACAATAGACTCTTATAAACTAATCCTTAAAAATTATATATTGCAGTCCTTAATCTCAATCTTATCCCAACTTTTATGGTGGATCAAACCCCTCATCTTCTCTATCTCCACGGCCACTCTCCATTTGTTGCTCTCTATCGTCATTCCCAGTGTGTATTTTTACTACCAAATCGTTACCATGATGAAGCGAAAACACAAATTGAACATCTTAATAACAAAGACCCAAACGAGATTTCATTCAACTAATCAACACGCAAATTGAAATACTAGGGTTTGTTTGGAAAATGGAAAGATGAGTTCGATGACAGAGGTTAATGAAGATAATAGAGATAGAATTCTTTTGGGTTCAAAGCTATTATTCATTAGAGCTTCAATTTCCTCTTTGATCAGAGTTTACTCTTGACCATGGATTGATTCCAACGATTTGGCCTTGGATGAATTGCTTATCGACTCCATGAAGGGAGCTAGATTAATGTGAAAGTGTGTGGCAAGATGGTTGAGGTGGGGTGTGTACAAGACACGAGTTAAAGGTATGACTGAAACATTTAGTGTGTGAAATGAGAACAACAATTAATAATCAAATTATTAAGTGTATGCACTAAGGAATGATGTGCACTGAGATAAATAAATGTGTGGGAATAACACTATTTCACTAAAACAATCAATAAAGACCCTGTTTGGCAAGTGCATTTTTAAATTTTTTGGTTAAAATTCATAAATAAATAAAAAAAATTAAAATAATCAATAAGATAAAATGTCGCATTAAAATCATAATCATTTCATTTTTTTTTTTACAAACATCACATCCAACTATAAAAAAATCTAACCATCTTTTCAAACATAAAAATTTTAACCTACTAAAACCATCTCCAATGGTTACTCAAACATTTCATCAAATCCAAATTTGATGAAAAATGAAATCTTTTCATATTCCAACAATTGCATCAAGTAGGTATCAAATTGAGAATTTCACTTTTCTTTCATCAAAGTAAGAATAAATATGCCTTACATCAAATCACTGTTTATTGCCATTGACGGATGTCCCTCCGGATGTCCTCCCGGATGACTACCTCAAGGCAAAAATTTGTAAAAAAATTACACTGGCTGGTCGACCGCCTAGTCGTCAAAAAAAAAAAAAAAAATTAAATTACAGTGGTTGGTCGATCGGTCAAACATCTGTCCGGTGTTCTGATAAAGCACCAAAATATCCTGTTAGAACACTTGATATCAAAGGAAGCTTTCCCTCAAATTTGATGAAAAACTTGATGCATCGTTGGAAATACTCTAAAATAGCCTACTAAAATAGTTAACTACCTGAACGAAGCCAAAATAAGCGATGACTTTGTTTGGTATTTTCTAAATAAGTGCACCTATTTTGATAAATACACTTATTTGAGTCACATTATCTCTTTATTTTTTTACATATTTTTTCGAAAAAAATAAAAAAATACACATATTTAGATCATCTCAAATAATCCTAAGTCAATAAGATAAAATATCACATTTAGGGTGTGTTTGTTTAAATGGATTGGATAAAGAAGGATTATAATCTATCGGACTGTTAGGATACATTATCTCCGGACTATTTAGCTGGACTAGATTTGTATTCTATATTTGTTTAGTCATGTGATTAGATGTCTAGATTAGACTATTTTTAGTGAATCAATATTGGTTGGACGAACTAGATAAAGAAATGTTCAAAAGACTATTTTACCCTTGTAATTTATAATTTAACACTAAATTTTTTTAATTTATAAGGTCATAATTTTTAAGTTATTATTTTCAATTAAATTAAATTTATAACTTATATTTTTTATTTAATATATAATTTTAAATTAACAACACTAAAAAAATAATTTATAAATGTTTAAAAGACTATTTTATCTTTTTTTCAATTGTTTATCATAGTATGAGGGTAAAATGAACATTTTACACATTAGTTTCATGAGATACCAAACCCATGGAAATAATCTCACCCCTCCCTTTAGGATACAATAATCACTCGCAAAAAAATTGAACCAAACAATGGCCCATTAGTTCGGATGGACTAATAATCCAATTCCAAAAAATAATCCCTCAAAACAAACCCTCATAATCCATAATCATTTCACATTTTATCTCATAATTATCAAATCAATTATAAAAAAAATCATCTATCACTCTAAATATAATTTTTTTATTAGACTAAAATAGTAAAAAGATATCTAAGCCTCTGTTTGGAAAGTGGGTTGACTTTTTAACTTTTTGATTTTTTTGGCTATTTTAGCCTGGGCTTAAAAGCTTGGTTTGGGAATGGCTTTTTGACTTTTTGGTTTTTTTGAGTTTTTTTGTGAGAGAAGAATGTAATGATTATGGGTTGGATGTGATGTTTTGTTTGTTATGGCTAAAATAGCCTATTTTATTTTTTGTGGCTAAAATAGCCAAAAAAACCTACAAACCCACTTGCCAAACACAGGCTACTTAATCTCAAACGGATTTGTTTGTCATTACGTGAAAACTAGAGGGTAAAATCGTAAAACCAATTTAATTTGTCAAGCCCACCACCTCTCCCACTTCGTCCACCCTCTGCGGGAGTTGCAGCAGATAAAGCAAAAGCATTCATATAGAGAGATAGAGATATGTAGGAGAAGACAATAATGAGAAATTAAGCTAAGAGAGTGGGAGACTGTGAATTGATGAATAGAGAGAGATAAAGAACTTAACTGGAAGTTACGACGATCGCCGGAAAATGACGACGGGTATAATCCATGACCAAAATCTGGAGAAGCACATAGAGAAACAGATGGGTTGTATGGCTGGTTTTTTCCAGCGCTTTGATCGCAACCACATTTTGACAGGAAAGAGACTATACGCCACGAAGCGTCTACCTCCCACAGCGGTGAGATTTGTCGTTTCTCTCTTGTCTGTCTGTCTGTCTGTCTGTCTCTATCTCTCTTGTATTTCATCGATTTTGTTTACTTCTGCTATGAAAAATGACCGAGGCACATTTATCAGATTGAAATTTATTGTATTTCCAGGCGGTGGATTCCCTGGATTCTGTTGGATCGCCGGCGGTTTCCATTGAATTGGAAAAGCCACAGCAAACTAGAGCAATGACGTCGCCGAGTCCTGACCGTTTGAAAGTTTCTCCGGTAACGGAGATGAAATCTCCGACGGCCAGTGTTGTGACTCCGGCAAAATCGCAGCTTCCTCTTCCTCTTTTTGAATTCAAAGAGGGGAATAGGTCTTCGTGGAAGTTCTGCAAGGAAACTCCGAGACTATCTCTGGACAGCAGAGCAATTGTTGATGCGAAGGGAAGTCTTTACCCGAAGGAGATCCGAACAAACACAGCGATTATATCGGCGAATCGATGTGACGACTCTGAAGACGGAGCAGATGGTGACGACAAGCGTCGATCTCCGAGCGTCATTGCGAGGCTCATGGGACTCGAACAATTGCCTCATTCAAATCCAGAGCCTATGATGAAGGCAGAGCTACGAAGATCTGCCTCTGAGTCTAGAGTTTCAAAAGATCTGTTTCAGTATCGATTCATTGACGGTAGCTACGTCCAGCAAAAGCAATCGAACCAATCGCATTTTGTTGGAGGTAATACCAATATATCGAGCAATGTCATACGAGACAATGGAGGAATAGAAAACAGCAAGGCCTCATTCAATGTTAGATCAGCAAATCCAATGAAATACTGTAGAAGAAATGCAAAGTCAGAACCACAAAATCCTCCGTACAGAGGAGGCGTAGGTATATCGCCATGGAAATCGCCTCAACAGAGGAAGAGTTTTTTCGATTCAGAGGACTCTTTTCCAGAGCCAAAGCAGACAATGTCAGTCTATAGAGAGATTGAAAAGAGACTGAAGATGAGAGGTATCGACGAGCCATCGAAGGATCTCGAAACCTTGAAGCAAATCCTTGAGGCTCTGCAACTCAAAGGACTTTTACATTCGAAGCCTCCAGAACAAATCCGCCACAGAAACCTCGCGTACGAGCGAGAGGAATCTCCCATCGTTGTCATGAAGACCTCGAGATCACAAATTCTTCCAATCAACAGACGATTCGGAAACGATTCGCCTCCGGCGACTTTCAGAAACAGAGCCGGTGTTCGCCGGAATCTCAGTAACATCGGCGAAACCTCGCCGGAGATTGATCGGAATGTACGGAACCAAGGCAAAGCTAGAAATTCGAGCTCGCCGGCGAGAAGAAGATCGTTGATCGTTGAGACGCAGAGGAAGACAAACGAGTTCTCAGCGCAGCGAAGAGTTTCTTCGCTTCATTCCCCAAAGCTTAGCCCGAAGAGTATTGGATCAAATCCAACCGTCACAACTCGATCACCGAGAAATAGAAAGCCAACGGCTGAGATTGATCAAAAGGAAAAGATTGCCATTTTTGTAGAGGATGAATCATCCTCTATTTCCGAAAGCAGTGTCAGTACATCTTCCCAAACTGATACAGAGGTACATTAAACTTTGAATTCATTAATTTTAATTAATTCTAATCTTTATTTTTTAAAAAAATTACTGTAACTGATTGGTGTTTTTTTTTTGGGTCGAAGAAATGGAAGATGGAGGAATACAAGGAGGGGAGGAGTCTGCTAGAGAGGTGTGATAAGCTGCTTCACAGCATTATGGAAATCACTGCTGCGACCGAGTTGCAACCGAGTCCGGTCTCAGTGCTTGACTCGTCGTTCTACAAGGACGAGTCGTCCTCTCCTTCGCCCGTCATGAAACGAAGCATTGATTGCAAAGGTACACAGCTACAGTACTCGTAGTTGCCATTCCGGCGTTTTTGTTTGCTTGGATTTCTTATGTCATTCTTGACTCTGTCAGTCAGATATGACAACTACATGCGTATCATTATTTTTCATGTGAAAATAAAAAAAACAAAATTGTACCTCAAAGTTTTTGGTTCTACAGTATTTGAAAAGAGAGTTTGAAATAAATTAAAATGATTAATAAGATAAAATATTATATTTAAATTATAATTATTTTATCTTATTTTTATAATTATCAAATCAATTATAAAAAAATTAATTTATCTTTTCAAATATAATTTTTTTAATCAAATTAAAATAATAAAAAACTAAAAATTCAAATAAAATAACCAAGTTCCATAAAATTTTCCTCTTTTGTATCTTAACATTATTCTTAATTTAAAAATAATAATAATAATAATTTGTAAGACAATTTTGTGTTTTTGTGTTTTTCTGCAAAATAGAAATAAACACGAAACTGGAAAACGGCTTTCTCCAATGCTATTCACTTTGCTTGGTTCTCATTTTTTAAAAATAGTTTTCAAGAAATTCTATACTCTTATTTTTCGTGTTTTTTTATTTTTACTGAACTTTTTAAATATTTTATGCAAATTTTTTACTTTTTAGACACACCTAACATAAATATACCTAAAAAGTAAAAAAATTATAAAAAAATCTTTTAAAAATTCACTAAATACCAAAAATACAAGAATGTAGTATATTTTTTGTATTTTTATGTATTTCTTAATTTTTTAAAATATTTTTTTATAAATTTTTTATTTTTAGACACATCTAAGTAAGGGGCATCTAAAAAAGTAAAAAAAATGTTTAAAAATTTAAAAATATTCACTAAAAATAAAAAAAATACGAAAATAAAAAAACTCAATTTTTAAAAAATTTAATCAAAAAAACTCAAACCACACACAGTTATTGCATTTATTTTTTTCTTGGGTGAATAATTTATTATTATTATTATCATTATTATTATTATTATTATTATGCATTTATTCTTTCTAGATATATTTGCTGTGTGTGTTGTGGTGTGTTTTGTTTGGTGATTTTATTTTACCTTCGTTGAAAAATTCAATTGGAATTGGGTGAGTCAATTTTTATCACCAATTTAATTATGTAATTGTATTATGCTAAATTAATAAGCCTCCGTTTGCCAAGTCCGTTTATGGGTTTTTTGGACTATTTTAGTCACAAAAGACGAAATAGGCTATTTTAGTCACAACAAACAAAACATCATATCTAACCCATAATCATAACTCCTCACTCTTCTCTTACAAAAAAAGTTAAAAAATCAAAAAGTCCTTCCTAAACCAAGTTTTTAAGCCCAAGTTAAAATAGTTAAAAAAGTCAAAAAGCCAAAAAATCAACCCACTTTCCAAACGAAGCCTAAATAATTTTTTGAATTAATAACTAATATATGAACCGATAGTTTTATTGATATATATTAAATATTTGGTACGGATCGTATTAGATATTATTTAACATCTCTTATACTAACATATTTTTTTGGTCCAGCTTGTCTCAAGTTGAGATCAAGACTGGACCCGTCCAGTCTGGCTTATGGGGCTCATTTTTTGGGTCCGTTTTGATAATCTGAACCATTCAATGTGTAGAACTCGTCGAGTACTATATGCCTGTAAAAAATCACGTTGATCGGATATCAATAGCTATGTGATCAAATCAGTTTTGTATAAAAAAAAATAGACGGTGAAAAAATTAACGGTTGATAAAAAATTGTTTTGTTCATATAGCTATCGATGTCCGATTTGTATAAAAAAAAATAGACGGTGAAAAAATTAACGGTTGATAAAAAATTGTTTTGTTCACATAGCTATCGATGTCCGATTATCGTGATTTTTTACAGGCATATAGTACTCGATGAGTTTTATACATTGAACGGTTCGGATTATCAAAACGGGACCTGTGGTGGACCTTCACGGGCCTTAACAGCACGGTCCGGTCCAATCGGACTGGACCAAAACCGCTGCCTATTTTTTTAATATTTTTGGCTTTTTGAAATCATGTTACTTTTTTTTTTATAATCTTTTTATACAGTTTTTTTATGAAAATAAAAAATATATATATATGTTTTGATCCTTCCAAACACTAGTTTGTTTAGGATGTATGTTAATTTTTTCATTTTTTATTATTTTAATTTAGAGTTAAAAAGTTTCGATTAGAATAGATTTTTTAAATTTTTTATGAGGGAAAAAATTAATAATTATGAATTAAATATAATTTTTTATTTTATTAAATTAAAAAATTTATTTTATGACTAAAATAGTTACCAACCCAACCTAAATTGCCAAACGAAGGCTCCAAATTCTCCACCAGCGGGTTCTTGGCAATGGCAGTGGGGTTTGGGTAGTTGTGACTGGTGGTGGGTACGAGGCTGTCCATAGTCAAACTTAATGATAGAGCTGTAACTGCAGAGTGTGACTGAAACCTGAACAAATTTAAAGAATGCTAGCCGTACTCCTTGCTTAGCTTTACCCTCCCAAAGATATATATATATATATAGATATATAGACGCTTATTTTGAAAATATAATTATAATTAATTTTTTGATAAAAAATTGTTTATAATTAATTTTTGTTTTTTGAGAAAAGAAGTAGGTTATTTAATCTAGAAAGTAGATTATAACTCACTTCTTAAAATAAGCCATATATAATATGTACGTTTAATTGTATGAAATGAGCATTTTAAATCTTTTATTAAATTCAAATTTAATGAAAAATATGTTATAATGTGCTCCCAATGTTTGTTGAACTTGTAACATACAGGAATAACATTAAAAAAGGCAAGGCACATTCAACTCTTTACTCTTTATTAGGATAGGACACTTTTCTTTAAGGGTTTTGTTAAGGTAAATATTAATAAGTGTTTTATGAATATTGTTTAATATTAAAAAAATGTGCAAAACAATATCTTGAAAGTATATATAAAAATCTTAAAATGTGTATTAATTTAAAAAAATATATATATTGAATTTAATAAAAAATATTTTATACTATTCAAAATTTTTTTTTTGTCTTTTACTTGTGTCATAGTGATACTTGTTAACAAGTAATGATCCATTAAATCCTCTTTAAAACACTTAGGCTTTGTTTGGTTTGTTTTTTAGAAAAATTTTTGAGAAAAATTCTCTACAAACAAATTTTCAACAGTAATCAAACCAAACAAATTTTTTCAAAAAAAATCTCAAAATTTTGTTTGGTTGCCTCCTTTCCAAAATCACCATTTCTTTCAAATCAATCACTTTTTTTAAAACTCTCTTCAAAACAATTTTTCAAAATCATTTCTAAAAAAATGCAAACCAAACAAGTTTTCATACTCTTTATCTTAAAAATTACTCTACAAACACAAATCAAACACCCTTAATTTTTGTATCAAAGTAGTTAGAATAAGTTGGGAAGCCTGAAAGATTTGTTGATGATTTCGATTGTGCCATTGGAGTGTTGTCCATCGTATGAAGCATTAAATTTTTGCTTTGTGATGAAAAAGAGAGTAAAGAATGATGGGTGTTTGGGATTTTTGTTTTTGGTTGTTTTCTTTTCTTTTTTAAGTAATTTTTTAGTAAAAATTTATAGCATTTTACGTTGTACTCCACTCTAGGCAATGGCATACTAAAGAAGGGGGAAAAAGAAAGTTGAAAAAAAAAAAAATCAAAAATCAAAAATAGTTGACTTCTTTGGTTTTTTTTATTTTTTATATTTTTAACATTCATCTCATAAAAGAAAAAATGTATATAATTTGAACAAAAAAAAATCACTAAAAACAAAAGAAATTCAAAAAAACAAAAACAAAACGGCCATTATGAAAAGTACTGTGGTTTTTGAGTTATTTGTAAGATGAAAAATGGGATTGGAATACAATATGACCAGACATTAGTATTTTGAGTGAAACATAGTGACTTGTCAAGTCTGCCTTTGTTTTGAATATTATTTCCCAAATTATTGAAAACAAAATATATCTTGTATATTTCTGCTTGGCTAAATAAGAATGGTACTTCCAATCCAATCCAATCCAATCGTTGCTATGTTCTTTGGTAGAAAGTACAAACAATGTTATTTGTTGTTATGCAATCAAATAACATGTCTTCGTGAGAGTATTATTTATTTCTAACTTTACTATACTTGTTTTGATTATTTAACGGTAGATTTTGAAGAAGAGATCTGGAGCCCTGCAATTTCACCCATTCAATCGAAATGTGAATGTAAATCAGACGACTGTGATTTCCTTTACATCTCAGACATTCTTCGGGCTTCCAATTACCTCCCTGAAGACTGCGATATATTCCTATTACTAGAGAAGCAACAGTATCTCCAAGGGAAGGACACCTCCGAAGTGTCAAGTCTCCAAAGAAAGCTGATCTTTGACACCATCACCGAAATTCTCAACCGCAACAGACAATTGCCTCCGTGGAAGCTCATTTCATGCTCGAATTCCAGTGTCGCTAAGCCTTCACTACGTCAAATTTGGTCAGAATTTCAAAGAATTCGAGAACGAGACAATGCAGAGGAATTGTGTGATATAATTTGCAGTGTTTTACGGAAAGACTTGGCCGGAGATGGGATCAATGGGTGGGGAGATTGCCCAGTGGAGATGTCGGAGGCAGTGTTGGACATCGAGCGGCTGATATTCAAGGATCTGATTGGGGAAACAATCCGAGATCTAGCGGCATTTGCAGGAAATAATAACGTTGTCTCAGCGCCTCGCAGGAGGTTGGTTTTCTGAAGGACATGGCAAAAAATTGGAGGCTTCTGTTATTTTTCGCGCGCTTTCTTTTGTCTTTTAAATTTTACTTTCCACCTTTTTTTTTAATTTAAAAAAAAAGTTTGGGAAATCTGAAAGCTTGGCAAATATTGTGGGCTGCTTTTGCAAAAATCTGTGAAAAAAAAAATATTGGGGGGATTGAAAATGTCAAGGAAGTGCATGTGTGAGCTTTCAAGCATAAATGGACTTTGTTTTGTTTTTTAGTTTGTTTCAGTCATTAGTTCCGTAATTAAAATGATAAGTTTTAAAAAATTTGGTGGGAAAGAGGGCATGTTTGTTAGAAGCACTTTATTTGGTGTGGTTTTGTGTGATGAGTGGTGTATGGGTAATGATTTTTCACAGCCGTGCGCTGAAAGTGAGGGGCAGGTGGGTGTCTCAAGGTCTATGTGGGAAGCTAGGCACTGTGGAAAATCATTATGGGTTAACTTGGCACGAAGGTTTGGATTAGGTTAGAATTATTTTAGTTATAAAAAGATAAAATAATTTTTTTTAATTTAATAAAATAAAATATCATATTTAAATTATGATTTTTTTTAAAAAGTAAAAAAAAAATAAAAAATTCATTTCAAATGAGATTTTTTAATCTCAAATTAAAAAAATCAAAAAAAAATATAAAGTGAATCTACATCTAAGACTATGACCTCATTTGTTTGGAGAGTTGAGGAGGGATTGAAATTGGTAGTGAGGTGGGATCGATTAACATTGTGTTTGTTTTGACAGATGAGGAAGGGATTGATAGTGAGCTCCAGATTCGGATGGGTCTTTCCAAGGCGATTGCTATTAGAAAAATAGTTTGCCGGATTAGAAATTTTTTTTTTTTACTTATTATTTACATGTTGGGCATTTTTTTTTTAACATTAATGTTTAAGTTTTTTATATTTTTTGTTAAGTAAAAATCTTTATTTTATTTGGAAATTATTTATTTATTTTTTATTTATTTAAAATTTTTTACATGTTGGGAATTTTTTTTAAAACATTAATGTTTAATGTTTGTATTTTTTTATTTGTTTTATTATTTTAAATTTATTTTATATAAAAAAAAATTAACAATCCTTACATTAACAACTATTATCAAAACAAATATCATTTTATTTAATCCTCTCACTATTAATTTCCTTACTATAAATCTCCTCAAGCATAGATAATACATGAGGATAGGGGTGTTCGCGGATCGGTTTTGTGCGGTTTGCGGTTCGATTTTGACCTACCCGTATCTATGCAATTTGGGAAAAAGTCAACCCGCAACCACCAGCAATGCGGTTTGTGCGGATAGGGTTTGCAAATGTGCGGGCGGTTGCGGGCGGTTTACGGTTTACACTTTTTTCTTTAAAAATTAATTTTTGAGTTTTTTTTCCTATCAAATTTAGGCATCAGATTCATTTTATATATTTGTGATAACAATTTTCTGATGAGTTTACAAATAAAAATTGAATATCGATGCATTAAATAAAAGTATTCAAAACAAAGAGACCCTACACTAGCATTTTTGTTATGAAAAAAATGTATATCAATGCATTAAATGTTGTACTCAATTAGAATTGTTAGTTCAGTAATCAATAATCAAACTAGAAGTTCATCGACCACCGGAAGTAAAATTTTATTAGAAAATATGGATGAATCACCAATGAAAATCATATAAGAAACCAAGTTTAGGACTTAATAATTCTACAGCATTAAGAAAGTTGAGAAATACTTAAAAATAAGGATCCTAGTATCATAGAGAATATAATAGTGTTCATGTAAAAGTTATAAGGTTGGTATATAAAATAATAATAATAATAATAATTATTAAAGTGCGAGCGGTTTTTGCAGGTTGTGGGTTTAAACCGCGACCCGCAAATTTGTCATATTTCAAACTGCATCCGCCCACATTATGTTTACGAAACCGCCTATTTATATGCGGATTAGGTGGGTTAGGCGATTCGGATAAAGCGTTTTCCCACCCCTACATAAGGACCTATTATAAGGAAGCCAAATAGGGCCCTCTGGGGAAGTAAAGGGTGAGTACATATTTGATGAATCTAGAGGGGTTTGTACATATTTGGCAAATGTTTGGGAAGTTGGGATTGAGAATTTTTCGGCTAAAATAGTTATAAAAAATAAAATAAATTTTTTACCTTAATAAGATAAAATATCATATTTAATTTATAATCATTATATTGTTTTTCTTAAAAAAAAAGTTAAAAAAGTCAAAAGTCCTTCCTAAATCAAGTTTTTTAGGCCTCGTTTGGGAACATGCTTTTTTAATAATTTTTTGAATTTTTGGTTAAAATGTGATGTAAAAAAAACTAGAATGTTTGGGATGACTTTTTGACTTTTTACGAAAAGATGCGCAAAAAGTAGAGAGAAAATAGAATATTTGAATTTTTGGTATGGGTTGTTAGCTTTTTTATTTTTTTAGTAACTTTTTGACTCTTTAGCTAAAAAAGCCACTTGCCAAACGAGGCTTTAGTCTTAGACTAAAATAGCTAAAAAGTAAAAAAACCAACCCACTTCCCAAACGAAGCCTTGATGAATTGTTATACATTTATTATTTAGTTATAAGGGTAAATTACAAATATACTCTCTGATATTTGATTAAAATATAAATCATCTCTTATAGTTTTAAAAATAATATTTCACTCTCTGAAATTTTTAATTTTATAATAAATTGTCCATTTTATTAATAAATCATCAAATCAATTAACAGTTTTTAATAATGTTAAAAATATGTTTCAATTAACAACTTAAGTAATTTTATTATTGTATAAGAAAGTAATTATTAATTTTATTTTTTTAGTTAATTCTGTTAAATAAATTTTTTTAATAAAGAGACATTTGTAATTTTTTAAACTACAAAGGACAATTTGTATTTTAATCAAATCTCAAAAAGTGTATATGTAATTTACCCTAGCTATAATAATAGTATAATCAATCTCATTTAAAATGAAAGAGAACATTTTGTTGACATAAATTATCAAGGGTAAAGGTTAACAAGTGTCTCATAAGTATTGTTTATTATTGTGACGTGTATAGAAAGTTTTTGTGAAAATATATAACAATTTTTTTTAAAAAAAATATTAATTTCAATAAAATTATGTTAAATTTAGTTAAAAGTGTTGGGATAAAGACTTTTCCACACTAACCTTTTGCTCATGGGTGATCTTTTGATAATTTGACTCAAGGGAAGAACTAACGTCACCATGCTGTTTGATTGGTGATTTTCATGGTATTTCAATAGTTTCCTAGTTTGTTTCCTCAATTATGAAGTATGGCGTCATTTATGCCCCATGTGATTTCATTTGTTTGAAATTTCTTGATCATGGAATAGGCACAACTGATTCAAGAAAAAGACCAAATGAGATGGGGTAGTGAAGAGATAAGGGATACCTCAGCATAATTCCTCTTTAGATGTGGGCTTCTTTCATTCCTCTTTTCCTTTATGGGCTCCATGGCCCCTCTCCCCAATTGGGTGGCACCTTTTGCCCACTTGACCCACCCCCGGAGATATTATTCATTAACTTCATATTATTCTTCCATCTCCAACATAAATCACGGATTCTTACCCCTCTTTATCAATCAAAACTTTATGGAGCACTATGTGTCTATATTTCAGGAATACTGCATAATCACCCTTCTCTCTCTCAAATTTATATAGATATTTTACTAAATTGGACAAATATTATTTTCAAGTCAATCTCAAAAGAATTTTAAATAAGATCAAAATTTGGGTTATTTTATTTTATTTTATAATATATATGAGTTTGTCGAACAAAGTAAAATAAATAAATAAATAAAAATTAACATGTTTAAAATATATTCAAACTTAATTTATTTACCTAACTAATTGATATTGAATAAATTTTTAACAACTCAAATACAAGTCAGACACAAACAATTTAATTTGTATTACAACCCTACCTTCATACATCATTGCTTCAATGCCCCCTTCATACCAAATAATTGAAAGCAAAGGCATACATAACAAGGCAAACAATGGGACTTATTGACCCCAAAAAAAGCAAGGCAAACAATGGGGTTCTTGTAATTCCAAAGGGCACAAGCTTATCCAATGTATCCAGTTGAGATGTGATGGTACCGTGGCACGCTCACATGCCTCTTTGGTGTCAAAGTACTTTCCTTCATTGAGATTTTTTTGAGTGGGTACATTTTTATTTTTGATTATTTCAAGCTTTAATGTCAAAACCTAGTGTGACCCTGTTGGCTTTTTTAGCTTTCGAGGTTATTTCCGTAATTATGAGCGTGCCAGGAAGGATCAATCAGTCCTTACAGAATTGTAATTGCCAAACAATTATTCAGACGATTGTGTTATGGTTCTTTCGGCCTCAATAAAGAGGACTTTTACTGGTGGCTTACTGGTAATTTGACTTCAGAAAACTTGAACATAAGAACAATTAAATAAACTGAAATATTTCATTAGTATGAAAAACTTACAATGATCTTAGTTCCGTAGAGAATTACAGCGGCAATATACTCGAAAACTACTCCTATAAATGAAGTGCGGCGCAGAAACTTAAAGTACAGAAATATAAAGGACAGGAAATAACACAGGACTATGTAAAGTAATTCTTTAGATCTTTTGTCGTCCCTTCCTCTGAAGCCCTTCCTGCTATTTATACTCTCCGAAGATAACCATCGAATTGTACTTCAAACCGTCGAACTGCTCCTCCGTAGTCGCTGATCATGCTACCTTATAAGTAGTCCCACTACGCCTTCACTTGCAGTTAGGCTTCCCCCTTATATTCGAATTTGAAATGTGAGCAACCGTTGAAGCCACGTCACTGTACGTCTCTTTGTTGATCTGCTACTACTCAGATCTTATAACAACCAATATTAATTGCCACGTGTACGATCAGGATCGAAGACCTACCTGGTCTCCCCATATTACCCTCACTTCGCCACGAGTCGGATTGTCACTGGCTTAGTACAAAATATGTAGCCAACAAGTTTAAATGTTTTTACAAATTGGGCAACATAGTTTTTAATATAAATTAAAAAATTTGAATTAAATTTGAATGGACTTGGGTAGAGATACCAAATAACTTAAGTAACCAAAACAAAATTGTGTATATAAATAAATAAAATTATTTGCTAATTAATTTTTTAAATAATAAATAAAATTAATTAAAATTTTAATATTAATGAACAAAAGCTAAAGCAATTCATTTAAGATTTTCTAATAGAAATTTTCTTGAAAATATTAAAAAAATAAGTTGATATAAAAAAAATTACTTTTTATAATGACATAAAAT